GGAATGTGGGGCAAGACAGGTAATTGTACTTAAAATGTGGCATTTAGCTTGTCAAAAAACCAGGACAGTAAAATAATATAAGAATACTTAAAATAATATAAAAACTTAAAATAATATAAGAATACTTCTGAATGCCACTGATTTCGTCAAGTACCTTTAGATGGAGCGGTGGAACAGTGGTAAAGTGGTATTTGCCTCTCAACGAGATTGTGGGTTCAAACCATGTTCCCACATATGTAACCACTACTGGTTTGTTCCATAATGGTAAACGGACATTTGCCTCGCTAAAATTTTTGAACGGCGTACAATTGCACATAAAGGGACGCAAACGTCTAGGGGCAACTTTCAAGTGGGGGGGGGGGAGTCCTAGAATAATACCAAAAATCTACAAGACTAGTAGTGTTTTAGCTCAGAAGCATATAGGAAGACATAACATTACCCCTCACTGTTAATACAAGTGTACCACGTTACTAAGAACTGTTCGACATAAACCTTAATGTGTTACCATTTTTATCAATAATTAAGAAATAATGAAATGACATCTTTTATTCCCAGTCGTGTTACATGGACACAATGTCATCTGGACAAACCGTTACCCTAGGATGTACAGACAACCAGGTATGTCTTAATCTGTAAGATAATCAATAAATTATTACGTGTACGTATTATATTGAATTATATTTCATCTGTGCATCTTGAATGAATTATATTAATTATATCGCGGACCTTTTTTAATAACATAGAAAAACTACATGAAGTGCAAAAAAGTGATAAGTATTCTTTAATTATAATTCAAGAAGTGAGCATCAATCTTAAATAGATGTTCAAATCGAAAAGAATGTGGTAGTGTCCGTATAACAATTACATGATGTCATGGCAAAGCCTATCCTTTCCCAATGTTTTAAGGTCTCATTCTAAATATAATGGCTTGTCAGTAAACTTCGTGTTTCTGTTAGTTTATTTTAAGATAACGATGTCTTGTTGTAGTGGCAAATCTTGGGAAATTGTCATCTGATAGTTGATTTCCAAAATTAGGTTATTAACATCGTAATTGCGACTATATCAGGTCACCGTGGTGATTATTTAGAGCACATAGCATATTAAAGACAATAAATTTACAAACCTACATTGTAGACACATTTGTTAAGATATAGGTTGACGTACGATTATAAAAATTTTCTTTGAGCGCCTTATATCAACAAATTCTAAAAGTACATATGTACATCCTAGATAAATTTATTTTTACGAGCAGCAATGTGGTGTGAGTGCTGGTGCGGCCGGAAGTTTAGTTGGTAGAGGTGTTAACAGACGACAACAATCCCAATGTCACGAGTGTTGCAGCACGGATAAATGCAATAAGAATCTTTGTTCTCATCTGACACGTAAATACTCCAAACAAAACAATTTTGTTTTCCCCCAAACGAATCACCATTTTTTTTAAATCTGTATCAAAATAAAATTATGAGTTATCAAATAATGTCAGTACTTTATAGTTTAACACTGAGTGGTTGGAGGCATCTTTCGGACAAAATACTGATTTCAGTTATATTTGTGAACATGTTATCGTGTATATGTATACATGTCAAATTGAAAAAGAATGCATTAAAATGTCCTTATATTAGTATTTTAGGATATTTATCTTCTTGCATTATGCATAAAAATGTGGAGACAGTCAAAATGTATTTTCGTATTAATCGATAAATTATTAATACTTTTTAAATTTTGCAAATTAAAATGTTTGGCTATAAATACATATTAAGATTCGCACAGAAAGGGATTCCCTAGCTAAACCCGGATTTGTTTTTATTTGTGTAAGAAAAATATAATAAGTGTAAAGTTTTAAGCTGCACGCCTCCAGATCAGCCAACTTAATCGGAGAGAATCGAACCTGAGAAAATTGTACTGAGATTTAAAGAAGAGTAGAATATTCTAGATTCAAGACGAGTAATGATTTACATGCTTTGTGTAATGAATGGTTGAGTGCCGTTTACTACGGAATACCGTTAGGGCCATCGTGGTTATACGTTAACATACAGAAGGCGACAATGCGAGAGTGCGACAATGCGATGACGAGAGTGCGACAGTGCGATGACGAGAGCGCGACAATGCGATGACGAGAGTGCGACAGTGCGATGACGAGAGTGCGACAGTGCGATGGCGAGATAGCGACAATGCGATGGCGAGACGGCGACAATGCGATGACGAGAGTGCGAGAACGCGATAGTACGATGACGACAGAGCGATAGTGTTATCGCTCTGTCGCCATCGCATTGTCGCACTCTCGTCATCGCATTGTCGCACTCTCGTTATCGCGACATCGCATTGTCGACTCTCGCCTTCTGGTGGACGGTTCTAAACTGTTGGCGAATAAGCTGACGGTATAGAATATGGGATAATTTTACTTTTGTCAATTTTTTTTCTTTTCTTTTCTGTTTCTTTTTTATTATTTATTTGTTGTTTTTTCTGTATAATAATAATGTTTAAATGAAATCATAAATTAATAATAAGAATCATTTTGTATATAAATACTGAAAGAGTTATACAAAGACGGAAAATGTAATTAATTGTGTGAAACTTTAATATCCTCAGATAAAAATGATCTTATGTTGACATTTAAAAGATGAAAAAATAAATAAAATCATTGTTTATTACTTGTATAAAAAAGACAAACGAAATATATTGATAGATCGTCTTCAGTGGTTTTATTGTTTTGTAAGATGAATAATTTATTATATTACTAACATTGTAAATAAAGATATATGTAATTAAAAATTTACGTCAACAAATAATTTTTTCTATATATCTAACATAAGTGGTCAACAATTTTCACTTTAAGATTAACTTAACAGCAGATCCTACTACAATGTATAAGTTTAATTGGTCAGCATATTGTACTATAGCCAACTGGCTCCGCTGGTGGACATAGTGAGATCATGTGTTTCAATGTTGAAAAACACATCTATCCATTAAATTTAATGCGAAAAAATTCATACTGTTTAGTTTTGTTGTGTTTTTTTTTTGTTGTTGTTGTTGTTTTTTAGGGAAACATGCAAAATTCAAATTACCAACTACCTGCCGTTAGGTAGTGGGGAATTAAGAATAGCCAACTACCAGCTGGTGTAGTAGTTTATTCGAATATCAAACTACCAACTACCTATCAAATTGACGCTTCTTTATATTTTTATCAATATCTAAGATCGAGCCATTTTTGGTGCTTGGTGAACATAGCGTTTTTTTTATTTCTTAAAGATAGTAAATAATATGATTAAATAAAAAAAAGAAATATAAAAGATAATTATACTAGATTTATGTGTCCACTTGTTTTATATATAGCCAAAGTGATTTTAGCTCAACCTTGAGAAACTGCTTATGAACAGGGGAAAATGATATTTACAGTGAAGTTTTAATTTATTTTGCAATGTTAGTAAAAATTGGTTTATGGTTCATGCCATATTTTCTTCTTATACTATATGGTCAGCAGACTAAACTTACGATGCTTTAGGTACACATGTATACTAGAATCTGCTGACCAGTTAACCCATTCCCGCATAAGCATTTTGTGAAAAATGGCTGTTTACATTGAAACCCACCCCCCCCCATGTTACACAAGTTCAAATTGCTATGAAACTATAATGTCGGTGGTTTTACTCATTTACTCAGGTACTCGTTTTACTATTACAAAAGGGAAGGTGAAAAGGCGTGAAAACACGTCTATATGAGGTAAAAGGTAAAACATATATAACAAGAGCACCGCTAGGCGGAACATTATATGCCCGAAAGTGCTTTTTAGTAAGGATGAAACGTTTGTAAGACATTACATGAATTAAATAAAGTATTACCTCCTTCAAACAGCAATCCTTCAATAAAGTTTGACTATTGTTGGCCAAATGGAACTTAAGTTATACTCTGGAAACTGTTTTCATTTTTGAGTTAAAAGTGACCTTGAACTTTGACCTTGTGACCCCAAATTCAATAGGGGTCTTCTACACAATATGGACAATCATCCTATGAAGTTTGAACACTATGGGCCAAATAGAAATGAAATTGACAAATTATCCAATATTCGATACCGTCAGCTTATTCGCCAGCAATTTAGAACCGTCCACCAGAAGGCGAGAGTCGAGAGTGCGACAGTGCGATGACGAGAGTGCGACAATGCGATGACGAGAGTGCAACAGTACGATGACGAGAGTGTGAAAATGCGAGAGTGCGACAGTGCGATGGCGAGAGTGCGACAATGCCAGAGTGCGCCAGTGCGATGACGAGAGTGCGACAGTGCGATGACGAAAGTGCGACAATGCGAGAATGCGACAGTGCGATGGCGAGAGTGCGACAATGCGATGGCGAGAGGGCGACAATGCGATGACGAGAGTGCGACAGTGCGATGCCGAGAGTGCGACAATGCGATAGTGCGACAGTGCGATGACGAGAGTGCGACAATGCGATGGCGACAATGTGCGATAACAATATTGCTCTGTCATCATCGTACCCTCGCATTGTCGCACTCTCGTTATCGCACTGTCGCACTCTCGCCATCGCACTGTCGCATTCTCGTCATCGCACTGTCGCATTGTCGTCATCGCATTGTCGCACTCTCGCATTGTCGCCCTCTGTATTTTAACGTATAACCACGATGGCCCTAACGGTTTTCCGTAGTTTGCAATATGTAATGCCGTTTGGAATGTCTAAATTACTTTTCTTTGTTCACACCACAAAATTTTAATCTTAAATAGATTTTCAAAATTTAAATAAAAATTAGGATTCATCTAGTGGTGAGGCATGCCACTTTAAGATCATATTTTTAATGAAAGAGAATATAATTACAGCTGGAACATGCATTGATGACGCTAAAGCTGACTGTGCATATTTGAACACATTTTTCGACATATGTCAAGATATTCATCACGCAAAGTTAGTATGTCCTAACTTCTGCAAACTATGTCCATTGGGTAAGTATATGTAAGCTATAACTCCCGCAATATATATACCTCCTTTTTACCTTTCGCGGACATGGCTTATCTTCCCCTATATATCACATCCTGCTTTAATTGACATAAATTTGTTTATTCAAGTACGATAAGAATGGAAGGAGTCGAGATAGGGTTGTATATGCATTTGATATAGATGTTTTTGGATTCCAATGTGGCTATGTGGGGTATGATAGGCATTTGATATAACTTTTGGTCCCTTGAGATGAAAACGAGGTTGAATTCAATATGTATTCAATTGATACATTTTATCCCATAAGCACAAAATAACGTATACACCGTTTTGAGATTCGCGATCATTCGATATGAAATATAATTTTGCAAAATCAAAACAAATGAACAGCAGACTAACACAGCTGTTTTTCACTCTATTCTTATTTAGTGGATGGAAACTGGGCAAGATGGTCTCAGTGGTCACCTTGTGATGTCACATGTGAAAATGGGACTCAAACTCGGACAAGAACATGCACGAATCCTGCCCCGGCACAAGGGGGTTTAGACTGTATCGGCTCAAACATATCAACTATATCTTGCTCAAAGGAACTTTGCCCAGGTAAGCATTTTTCTTAAACTTGCATTTAATTTTCAAAGAATGTTTCATGTACTCTAATTTATCAATCGTAGTTATAAATCACCCAGAATCACTTATAGCTTTAAACATGCATACGTAATTTGATAGGTTTCACAACCAAGAAGGATTAAAATAAATTGCAATTCAAAAGCAAAGAACAATTATAGAAATGTAAATATCCGTTTAAGCCTTATTTTTCCTACTAATAATGCATTTCTCCATTTCGATAGATATAAGTATAAAGGGTTAAAACCATTTTGCCACCTATCTCAGTTTCTCCCTTTCGATACATATATGTCGAAAGGCTTAAAACCTTTTGCCACTTATTTTAGTGCATGGTGGATGGACAAAATGGTCGAGCTGGGACGCGTGTTCTGTAACTTGTGGTGTAGGTATAGAAAGGCGACATCGTAATTGCTCGAACCCGATACCAGACAGAAACGGACTTCCATGTTTTGGCGACACATTAGATGATAGAATATGCTTACCCGGTCCATGTGCAAGTAGGTTTAATAAATTGCTTCAGTTTGTCATAACTTAATCATGTATGTGTTCGGTAGCTAAATCTTCTTTTTAAAATCTAAATTTACAGAAATTGAAAAGCAATTCAGTGACACACATTTAAAATCAATACCAATGTTTTTTCAATGTATTTGGATTTATTACGGAATCTTTATCGTTAAAATTTACATCACTCACGAATCATCACCTAAAACATAATGTTGGTAAATTTTAATGTAGCCTTTAAATAGAAAATAAATGTTAATATAATCTAAAATGAAAATAACACGATAGGTTATAACGACACCATAAGATATTGTATTAAGAGTCTAGAGAGTAGTGGCGACACACTTCTCCGTCGTTTGTCCGTCCGTCCGTTGCCAAACTTGTCTGGACTATTTCTCAAAAAGTACTGGAGCATTTTCAACCAACTTTATAGGAATGATTAGTAATGAGTCTAGTTGTGCATATAGTCGGCATTTTCTGGTTCAATGATTTTAGACAGAATTATGATCCTTTAATGATTCTTATTTTTAAACAAGACTACTCCCCTTATACTATTCATTGCAATTCAATTAAACTTTACATGATTGATCTGTAGCTTACGTATTTGCGCATATTGCACAGATTTTTGGCTTGAATGATTTTTAATTGAGTTATGACCCTTGAATTAAAAAGGTGTTTTTTGTGTTTGTCACTTACACAAAAGCTTGTTCGAACTTCTCTTCACAAACTTCTGGTGCAATTTCATCTAAGCTTTACAGGAACGGAATGACTTTAACTAAGTGTAGTTGTGCATATCATCGGCATTCTCCGATTCAATAAATTGTTAGAGTCATGAGCATTTAATTATTTTCATTTATAAAATTTGTTTGGACCAATAATGCAATTTCAATAAAACTTAACAGGATTCATTGGTATCTTATGTATTAAAGCATAATGCATGGGTTTTATGGTAGAATTATTTTTGCTAAGTATTGGTCCATGTAAAAAATATTTTTGTGTCTCATTGGCTATCATGGAGTGACACATGTGATAACTGACGGCTCTTTTTTCTCAATTTTTTTATTTAAATATCTTGTAATATCTTATAGCAGTTTCCAAACAAAAATACTCATTAGTCATATACATGAATTATCTTTTTCTTTTGCTTTCTGTCATTGGTATTATTAAATAGTAAAGTAGTATTTTGTACGGCGAGATGATCCAGAATTACCTGGAATTTTTTTTATAATTCTGACATATGTCATGTTTTCTTCATTAAATTTGTACCAGTGCAAAGTTTGATGTTACATCTATTTAGTCATTTGAACATTAGATTATTGTGCAATCAAGTTTGAAGTTTTCTAGATGCGACTTTTATTTATTCAAAAACGTCGTCATGTCATTAAAACGTCCAGAAAACGGCACTTTCATAAACATTTGTTGACAGTCCGAATAGTATACATCAGACACATATAATATGACAAAAGAAACCTGATACAAGTATCTTGTTAGTCAAACAAAGGGTTTTTAGAAGTATAGACTTTTTTCAGACTGTTTGGATTAATCTTAAAGATAATCCGTATCGTTGACGAAATAGGAAATGCGCATGACGTTGACGTTTTCCGTCACTGTGGCGCTTGAAAGAAAAAAAACAAAACAATCAACAAATGTGCTGTCGTATGAGGCTTGCAGAAAATTCAATGAAATTATTCTAATATTTCTTTTTGATGAATTGCATATTTCTAAGATTAGTTTTTTAGGTATTTATTACATTTATCCAAAATATATTCCTATTGAAATTAAGAAAATCCAAGCCGATGGATTCATTTGATTTAAAGTATGTAATTGGAACATAAGTATTCACCCGATGGATAATAAAGCATCGATCGATATTCCAAGTACTTGGAAAAACATTTTAGTATCGTTGTGACAACGTTCAGACTGTGGCACATGCGCATTGTTATGTTTACTTAAATATGCATGTGGTGAGCATAATGTCTTTAATTGTTATAATTCTTGTTTCCTTGTAAAGAGAATATATAATGCCTTGTTACAGTGTTTTTGTATGAACATTAAATATAAACTATAAAATTTATGGCTTAAAAATGGATCGTCCCTCGGACTGGCTGATATCCTTTTAATCTAATTAAGTGTAAAATGGTTTGAAAAGTGTTCACCACATCGTTTATTTAATTAATTTTTTCGACATTGAAGAGGCAACAAAATTGTAGAGATGACTTTTATATAAGGCGTTTGGTGTGTTTAAGATGGTGGTTGGACTGACTGGGGACAATGGAGCACCTGTTCAGTGACGTGTGGGGACGGTTTAAAGTCTAGATCACGTACCTGCACAAATCCGTCACCCTCGCCACAGGGAAAATATTGTGATGGAGATTCTTTAGAAGTTGTTTCCTGTAGGAAAAGCAGTTGTAGTATGTGATAACATTGATATATTGTTCATAAACAGTAGAATGAAAACGGTTACTTTCAGCCCTAAATTGGCTTGAGAATATGACACCCATTTTGCTATATTTTAATGCAAACCTCGGTGTCATCACAACCTCGTGTTATTTTAACTATACAGAATTTTACTGCCATTATGTATGAAGCTTATAGACACACGTCTGGATCCAACTAGTACTGAGCAATGAGTGTAAATTTTCTTGCTCAAGGAACACTGGCTCGTCCCTGACGGGGTTAGAACCCACGCGGATGCGATACTAAGGTTACTATTCGGTTGGCTATGCCGCCATCATAACATGTCTTTTAATCATAATATCAGTATTACTAATGTGTCTAAGATGTAAGATTGTGATTTGCAATGCTACAAAGGTTGAACATTTTCAGAGAAAACGAAGGTGCAAGCTTGTTGAAAGCCTATAACTTAATGGATAATATCATTCTTTAGAATGATATGCACTTAAGTTCTCTCAGGGTATTCTTATTTGTAATGTGCTTATAAAAGTTGTTCTTGCCTTTCTACTAATCATTTGAGCTCCGTCACGACAAAACCAACCTAATGGGTTTGCGATCAGCATAGATCTAGACCAGCCTGCGCATCCGCGCAGTGTGATCTGGATCCATGCTGTTCAGTTTCTCTACTTGTATTAGAGTTGGTAAGAAACATCATTGGTCCTGTTCAGACTGCACGGATGCTCAGGCTGGTCTTGATCTATGCTGGTCGCAAACCCATTATGTTGATTTTGTCGTGACGTGGCTCATTTTTTACTATTTTTAAGTATTCGTGTATATCTATGGCTGTATAGTCCACCAATTATCAAACTTATCAAAGTAAAAATCATCATTTCAATAGTATTTGTTACAAATTTTGTTTTATAGGTCCAAATATAGTATTTAAAGCAAAGAATGTAACAAACAGAATTCCTGGAAATGGAGGCACAGTTATATTTGGCTCTACAATTGTTAACGGAGGAAATGCTTATAATACATCTACTGGAATCTTCACTGCACCTGTCAGCGGAACGTACTCATTTAGTATACAACTGTGTGCACAATCCAATACAGAAATGACAGCAGACATCATAGTTGACGGGACAATATATGCGGCCTTATATGTATATGATAAAGATAAGAATCCATGTGGTAGTACAGATACAGCTGCTGTTTTACACGGACAGTCAAACGTATTTGTTAAATGCACTACAGGTTGTACGTTCACTAATATATTTCAAAATAGGTATTATGTGAACTCGTTCTCTGGATATTTGATTCACCAATAAACTTATCTTTTTGTCAATTTTCTCTTAATTTTTAGTATTATTTATTTCTTATCGTCGCGGCGTTGTTATCGTTATAATCATAACAAACGCACAAAAATCTTGTATTATGGATGTTAAACTGTTGTTGTTGTTCTCTTCATTGACAGTGAAATTGAAACATTTAACTGTTATTGATAACTTTGCCGCTGTTCGGGAAATGCGTACTGAACAACGGAAGAAATTTGTATCTATCCAAAAATTATACAATGCTTACACGATAGCGATAGTGCTTTTCATTTGTATAAACTACAAAACGAAGAAGTTTTTAAGAACTTTTTAACAGGTAGAAACACAGCAAATGACTTACGACTTAAAACATTTAAGGCTTATGACAATTATTAGTAATTCCTGGAAATAATCAGAATGATTCGAAAACATTTTGGACATCCCTTAAAAAATTTGGTGATCATGTAAATGACAGTTCACCTATTAGAAGTAGCATATTCATATATGTTTGAAAATTGTAATGAAACCAACTTTGACAAACGCAAAATTGGTAAAGTATTTATATATATTTACTCTCTTTCATCAAATCTTACTGCAAAGTTGCCTACATAATTAAAAAGTTTATGCGAGCAGTTTTTTTTTTTTTTTCTTTTTGGTTGTTGTTGTTTTTTTGCGTTTTTTTTTTTTCATCTTAAGGTTTTTACCTAAAAATATTCTTTTTCGATGATGGCTGAAAAAATATTTTAGGGAATTTTAAAAAGCAAAGTTCACATGAATCTACAGGTTCAAACGGTATCAGTTAGTGGATTTAATTTCACATTTCCCTTAACACATATTGTAAATTTATCAATAATACAAGTCAAGTCACTGTACAAGATGATATAAAGGCAGGGAGAGAGAATAATTAAACTGTAACTTGCAGTTACAAGAGTATCTATGTTAAATTATTTATGTCCGTGAAGTATGCGGGCTAACGGGCTAGCAGTCTAGCGGGATAACAGGGTAAACTGATCGGGCTAGCAGTCTAGCGGGATTACAGTGTGAACTGGGCGAACTAGCAGTCTAAAGGGCTAAACACTAAATCTTAACAGATTAAACATGAAAACGTAATGATACATATCCTAGCAGTGTGAAGTTGGCGGGTTAACAGTGTAGCGGACTAGCAGTGTGAACTGAGCGGGCTGGCGGACCAGCGGTCTAAACTTTAATACTTACTAGTAATTGAATCAACATGAAAACGTTATGATACATTTCCTAGCGGTGTGAAGTGGGCGGGCTAACAGTGTAGCGGTCTAGCAGTGTGAACTGAGCGGGATGGCGGGACATCGAGCTAAACTTTAATACTAAATTGAATCAACATTAAAACCTCATGTTGCATTTCCTAGCAGTGTGAAATGGGCGGGCTAACAATGTAGCGGGCTAGCAGTGTGAACTGTGCGGGCTGGCGGGCCAGTGGGTTAAACTTTAAAACTTAACTGATTCAAAATGAAAACGTTATGATACATTACCTGGCAATGTGAAGTGGGCGGGCTAACAGTGTAGCTGTCTAGCAGTGTGAACTGGGCGGGCTGGCGGGCCAGCGGTCTAAACTTTAATACTTAATTGAATGAACATGAAAAAGTTATGATACATTTCCTAGCGGTGTGAAGTGGGCGGGCTAACAGTGTGGCGGGATAGCAGTGTGGACTGGGCTTGCTGGCGGGCCAGCAGGCTAAACTTTAATACTTAATTGAATCAACATTAAAACCTCATGATGCATTTCCTAGCAGTGTTAAATGGGCGGGCTAACAGTGTAGCGGGATAGCAGTGTGAACTAGGCGGGCTGGCGGGCCAGCGTGCTTAACTCTTAAACTAACTGATTCAACATGAAAACAATATGATATATTACCTGGCAGTGTGAAGTGGGCGGGCTGGCAGGACAGCGGGTTAAACTTTAATACTTAATTGAATGAACATTAAAACCTCGTGATACATTTCCTAGCAGTTTGAAATGGGCAGGCTAACAGTGTAGCGGGCAAGCAGTGTGAACTGTGCGGGCTGGCGGGCCAGCGGGATAAACTTTAAAACTTAACTGATTCAACATGAAAACGTTATGATACATAACCTGGCAATGTGAAGTGGGCGGGCTAACAGTGTTGAGGGCTAGCAGTGTGAACTCTGCGGGCTGGCCGGCCAGCGGGATAAACTTTAATACTTATTTGAATCATCATTTAAACCTCATGATACATTTCCTAGCAGTGTGAATGTGAAGCTAGCGGGATAACAGTGTGGCGGGATAGCAGTGTGAACTGGACGGGCTGGCGGGTCAGTGGGCTAAAATCTAAAACTTAAGTGATTGAACATGAAAACGTTATGATACTTTACCTGGCAGTGTGAAGTGGGCGGGCTAACAGTATAGCGGGCTAGCAATGTGAACTGGGCGGGTTTGCGGGCCAGCAGTAAAAACGTTAATACTTAATTTAATAAACATTAAGACCTTTTGATACATTTTCTTGCAGTATAAGCTCGGCGAGCTAACAGTGTAGCGGGATACTGGTACAAATTCAGCGTGCTATCAGTCTAGTGGTCTAAATTCCATACTGTATCATTTTAACACTAAAGCGTTATGATGCATTTGCTGACAGTATGAACTCGACGGGCTAACAATGCTTGTTTCATCTGGTATACACGATCCTTGAGAACTGTCACAAATATGTACACTAAAGTTTTAAAATTCGTATTGATGTTCAAATGATGTATTATATACAGAAAAAAACGACAACCTTAACTGAAACAGAAAAAAGAAACTCTGCAACATAAGGTTTTAGTACGGCAATCAAATGTAGAACCTCATATAGTGAAGCAGAAGCTGCACCAGAGATACATACATAGGTGTATATTTCGTGAAATGACAGAAACTTGTTTATAATTACATATAACGAAACTTATAAGTACTCCGATTTTAAACTTGTAGGAAAACTCCAGTTTTCAAAATTCAAGTATTTGATTTTTTACCCATGGTGATCTCAGTTACTGATTTTCTGTTAAAATTGAGTTATTGTAAAATCACTAAAATGCATTTACTATTATAAAATGATGATACTATGATTATAGTTTATACAGTATCACGGTGCATATCCATATCGGTACCCTCTTTGCGAAATCTGCTGAAACGGCACCCTCTTTGCACATGCACAGGCCACTCTCTGCTCAAAACAAACCAGCAATGGATAACAATCCAGTAAAATTTCAATATAATTAGGAAAGAAGGTATGACACATAGAAAAGATGTATACCACGGAACACTACAATGTTTTATCTATGTGCTGATTTGTCATGTGCCCGTTTTTCATGTACTACAACTTCACAATAAGCTACAAAAAATCGACATGTCTTGCTTCGCCCATCACCTCGACATACTTTTCGGGCTGAAATGAACCTGTGGCTTGATTATATATGCATCATACATATTTATTATGTTCATTCACATATCATCTTCGGACAAATGGCAGTATATTGTCAAAAATAATTGTAAAATTCATAAAAACACCCTACTTTCGGTTTTGCAGCGGCATGGGCTACCTCTCTTCATTTGAATTTTTATATCACAGGCACCCTCTCATATTTTTACACATAGGTACCCTCAAGGCACGACATATGCTTTAATTTATTTGCGTTAATCGTAAGGTATGTAATATTTCTTACTTTTATGTAAATATTACATACTTAACGATTAACGCAAATAAAAGCATATGTCGTGCCTTGATGGTACCTATGTTTTTGTAGCTTATTGTGTAGTTGTAGTACATGAAAAACGGGCACATGACAGATCAGCACATAGATAAAACATTCTAGTGTTCCGTGGTATACATCTTTTCTACGTGTCATACCTCCTTTCCATATTGCAATGAATTTTTACTGGCTTGTTATCCATCGCTGGTTTGTTTTGAGCAGAGAGTGGCCTGTGCATGTACAAAGAGGGTACCGTTTCAGCAGATTTCGCAAAGAGGGTACCGATATGGATATGCACCGTGAGTATCGACTTACACTAGTTATAGTAATTCTAACACAATATAATAAAAATTGGTCCGGAGTACTTCGTTAAGTGTATAAGGACAGCTAGGAATCTAGCCGGATTTGTGGTCTGGTTGTTAATACATATATATAATCCAGGTGTCTTGAGTTCCATCCTCCGCTCCTCCGTAGCATTACCAACAGTCTTTCGGATTTAACTTTAAACCGAGGTCCCGTGTATCGGTGCTTTACACCGGGCACATAAAAGATCCAGGTATGCTTCTGAAATCGGCCATTTTCTGTACTCCCTGCACTATCTTCACAAATCTAATTACGCATGTCAAATTGTGAAAAACCACAAAGTGACGGCCTACCGATACCGACAGATGTACCATCAGAGTTTCCTCACTATGGATGATTTTACGTGGAATTGGCTGGGCTTAAAGTATAACAGTTTTGGTTTCAGTACTTCATGGAGCAATGATGAATATTAGAACAAATAGCAAAGGTCTGCTATTGTTTAATGCACATATTTTAATGTGCCACTCACATTTTTGTATGCCGTATTGAGTGTCATTTTTAGCTGTAAACTGTTATCAGATACCTGGACTTAATTGCGCAAAAGACTGGCTCAAATATTTTCCAGATTTTGAGAAAGTTTTTAATGCAAATAAACTTAGTTGTTTCAAATAAAATATTTTTTTGTTTTCGTACCAATTCTCACCTGTCAGAGTCTCTTACACCCCGTTACTTAACGATATACGAACTGGTGAAGCATAGTGAAATCCCCTCTGGCACGCAAAAATACTACAATCATCGCTAATATTTGTTTGGCTGGCCAATTCCACGTAAAATCCCGATATAGTGAGGAAACTCTGATGGTACATCTGTCGGTATCGGTATGCCGTCGCTTTGTGGTTTTTCACAATTTGACATTTGTAATTAGATTTGTGAAGATAGTGCAGGAAGAACAGAAATTGGCCAATTTCAGAAGCATACATGGATCTTTTATGTATCAGGTGTAATGCAACGATACACGGGACCTCGCTTTAAAGTCCAATCCGAAAGACTGTTGGTAATGTTAGGGAGAAGCGGGGGATCGAACTCAAGACCCCTAGATTATATACATGTGTATGTATTAACCACCATACCACAGATCCGCTCCCAAATAAATCGATAGATTCCTAGATATCCTTGTATTTATGGACAAGCTTCTGTCATGTCTGTCATTGTACGAAATATACAGTTGGTGCATCTTCTGCTTCACTCCATTAGGTGCCCTACTACGAAAATCTTATGTTGCAGTGCTTTTTTTCTGTTTCAGTTAAGATTGTCGTTTTTTTCAGTATATCATTCATCACTTGAATATCAATACGGACTTTAAAACATTTAGTGTACATATTTGTGACAATTCTCAAGGATCGTGAATACCATATGAAACAAGCATTGTTAGCCCGCCGAGTTCACACTGCCAGCAAATGAATCATAACGTTTAAGTGTTAAATTAATTAAGTATGGAGTTTAGACCACTAGACTGCTACCACGATGAATTTGTACCGCTAGCCCGCTACACTGTTAGCTCACCGAGCTTACACTGCTAGGAAATGTACCATATGGTTTTAATGTTTATTCAAAAAAGTATTAAATTTTATCCCGCTTGCCCAACAGCCCGTCCAGTTCACACTGCTAGCCTGCTACACTGTTAGCCTGCCCACTTCACAATGCCAGGTTATGTATCATAACGTTTTCATGTTCATTTGGTTAAGTTTTAGAGTTTAGCCCGCTGGCCCACTCAGTTCACACTGCTAGACCGCTACACTGTTAGCCCGCCCACTTCACATTGCCAGGAAATGTATCATGAGGTTTTAATATGGATTCAATTAAGTTTTAAAGTTTATCCCGCTGGCCCGCCAGTCCGCACAGTTCACACTGCTAGACCGCTACACTGTAAGCCCGCCCATTTCACACTGCTAGGAAATGTATTTTGAGGTTTTAATGTTGATTCAATAAAATTTTAAAGTTTAGCCCGCTGGCCCGCCAGCCCGCACAGTTCACACTGCTAGACCGCTACACTGTTAGCCCACCCATTTCACAATGCTATGAAATGTATCATGGGGATTTAATGTTGTTTCAATAAATTATTAAAATTTACACCGCTGGCCCGCCAGCCCGCCCAGTTCACACTGCTAGCCCGCTACACTGTTAGCCCGCCACTTTCACTCCGCTAGGAAATGTATCATGGGGGTTTAATGTTGATTCAATTAAGTGCCAGCCCGCCCACTTCACACTGCCAGGTAATGTATCATAACGTTTTCATGTTGAATCAGTTAAGTTTCAGAGATTAGCCCGCTATCCCGCCAGCCCACCCACTTCACACTGCTAGACCGCTACACTGTTAGCCCACCCACTTCACACTGTGCTAGATTGCTAGCCCGCTCAGTTCACACTGTTATACCGCTAGACTGCCAGTCCGTTAGCCCGCGTACTTCACGGACATGGTTATTTCACCTTCTTTTTTTAACATTGACAAGTATGAGGAACTCAACTAAGTTGTTTAATTTCACATTGCCAGCCAAATGTTATATAATTTAATATGTAAGAATTTCTTTCAATGATGCTTGTCTTCCTAATATGAGCGAGTTTAAACATTTTTAATGCTGTTATGTACTGTAACAACTAAAATAAATCATACCTAAGTTAAGGTACATGTAGGTAAGAGCGTGTGTTCTCTGATTAAAACCCACGGTCGAGGGACATGTTTTTCGTGACAGGGTGAATGAAAGTATTCGTATCGTCCTCGATTCCTGATTTACATGTTTGTTACTTGCAGAGAACATGTTGTTAGTACTGTTACAAAATAAAAGAACAATTGGTGTATAAACTGAAAGCCATTCTAATCACTATCATACTCTATATTATAAGCGTTTTTTCGTATCATGAAATACTATAAACCCTTATTACGCCAAATAAATAACGAAACAATTAGAAATAATTAAAATTGTTTAAGCATACACAACAAATTATTCATACAAGCTATTAACCAAGAGAAAGATAAAAACTGCATGTTTCCCTTTAAGAAAATGAAGCAAAATGCAACAAATTGTGTTTTGCAACAAAACCTGAGGTTAGAATCAGCAATTGTCCTCAAGCATCCTACCCCTGTGTCATTTGGAACGTTTGCAATTTAAATTCAAAATATATTTTATCGACTATGAAAACAAACTATACAATCTATTACACGTTAGTCGTTCATTTAATGGTCACACTTATTTTACAGTAGTCTGTTAGTGCATTTGTCCTTTTAAAATTCTTTCTCATGGGGTCTAACAAAATTAACACTATACACATTATTGAAGTGTCCATTATATCCCTTAAGGGTTTTTTCACATAACCGAAATGCTTTACGATATTTTTGTCCATTTTTAATAAGCCTTGGCCTGTATCTATGCGATTTTTCAGATCATTTGCTCAATCTGATTTTCCAGAATGATCGTTTAATTTTATTGTTAAAATGGGCGACTTTGCAATTTTATTTTAAGGGAATCATTTTCTTACCTGTCGAAATTCTTGCGTTTTATCATTCTCAGTTGATATATGTAAGAAAAACAAATTTATGTTCCGGGGGGGGGGGGGTGGACGTTGAAATATTTTGGTGTGAGATAAATGTAATAAATTGTCTTATCTTGACAACGTAAGGGTAAAGACTTATTGGGGTGTTTTCCTAATCAAGAAACAGAATTGATTAAACACAATATCATACCAGCAGGCATAAAGACACTTTAGTACTTTGAGGGCAATATCTCGTTGAAATGTCGTTATTTTATCAAAACAGACTAAAAAAGAAAGAAATTGTCGTTGATGAAAATTATATAGGACTCTATGTCATTTAGATAGTGTCATATTTGGAACATGTTCCTATGGTTATCTTATCAATTAAAACAAGTTTCTTGCCAATAGACGGGACAATATAGCAAGAGCGAACATAACAACAGAATGATTGTGATTACGTTAGGTAATTTTTTAATTTTGTTGTTTTTTGTGTTTTTTGTTTTTTTGTTTTGTTTTTTTTAGGGTGTTTTTTTTATCTGAATTATGAAAGTGAGAATAGCTAAACACTCATTAAAATAGACATCAACTATAACAATGGAGAATATTGCGACCAAAGTTTTTGAAAGAAAACACTATCTATATGAGGGTTGATAATAAGTAGCAGATACAGTACAACCTCTGCAGAGCAAAGCCCAATGAAAGACAAATGGTTTTGGTAATTGATTAGATATACTGATGTTGTAGGTTGTGTGTCAAGTACTAGTCCGAGTTTCAAAATCTTATCAGTCAGTAAAGCTCGTTCGAAAGATATGATCTTTTATTTTGACAGCAACGCCTTGTTTATCTTCTTGATGTGTACAATGGTCGCAGTATGTCTCTGAAATTATACTTGATTCTGTTCGAGTGAACGCTTTACTGAGTACTTGGATCGCCAATTAAAGTAGTCGACTGCAGTTGCTACGCATTTAACACGCTACAAACCAAAATAATTCGCTTGTGTAATGTATTTGTGAATTTCCTTCAAAAGAATATAAAATTACCGGAATTATATTACAAATTGTATATTTTAGGTTTTTCGATATACCTGCTGCTTTCTTTTCCAAAGACATCTGGTAAGAATCTATATACTTGATTGTATCGCTTGTATCAATTTCGGTCCCATGATAAAGTGTTGTAAATTGCTCAGATTACGTAGTAAAAATGAAAACCTGTTTGCTGGAATACTTTTATCTAGCGCCACTTTTTCAGTTTTTTAACTTTAAGCAGAACGCTAGCTGTTTTCGATAAAAAAAAATGAAAATAGGTATGTATATTAATAACCAAATGAAAGTGTGTGATAAATTATAAACAACCTCTTCAGCGTATTAGTACACAAATTATTTTACCTACATATTGCAATATATTCTATATATACAGGATAATAAATTGGGACCATGGAGTGTTTTTACATCATGCTAAATGTATGTCATTTAAAAGAATAGATGTTACTTATAGTAGAAATGAAGCTGAACTTTACTATGACGATAACACAGTAGCATATTATAAAACAATATAACAAAGCTTATTCAGTGTACTTCATTATAAAACATTTACTTTAGACGCCTTGCAGTGTTACAATTGTACCGACATTGCTGACGTTTATGAATGTCTCACAGTGACAGAATGCCATGCCGGTCAGGTAAATATCTATTAGTAGCATAATGCCATATTGGTCAAAGAAATGTACAAGTTCGCATGATATAATACTATCCTGGTAAATGTCGTCAAGTTACTGAATAATAAGGGTTAGGCAAATATTCTAGACTGAGGGTCAGGTTATTGTCAACAACAATTGTTGTATTTAATAATCAGGCAGATACCTTTAGTATGTCAATAAAAATAAAATTCAAGCCGGGCAAATACAGAATCCAAGGTTAGGAAGAAATTCTCTGCGCCCAAATTGAGATCTCGGGTATTCATTGACCAATTAAATTCCTGACATATCAGACATAACAGCATTTTTTATAACCTCGCGGCAAGGTCTGCAACCAGCAACTGGTAAATGGAATGTTAAGGCTGTGTGAACAGCGGGTCATCTTTTGTTAAATGAAAGACAGGCAATAACATTTGTTTTACCGGAAAAGAATTTGTCATATTATTTAGTTAAATAGATAAATAATTTAGAATAAGGTCTACCGTTAAAGTATTTGTAAAATTTCCCATGTATGGGAGTTTCATTAAGCTGTTAAATTATCCTACAATTTGCTTACTATAACCATTATGTCGATGTAAAAATTGATATTTACTGAAAATATATGTCAGTTACCATGTTTATAAATGCTTTTTTATCATGCTGACTTGTAATTTTATAGTCTTGTCACATAGAAGTAAAATCAACAGGACAAAGTATCACCCTCGGATGTACAGACAATCAGGTAGGCAAGAGATATCCCTAAAAACAATTTTACAAAATTTGCAAATATTCTAAAATTTGGTTCATATAAAACAAGTGTATAGCAAAATTAGTGACACAATTTATTACAAAATTCGGTTCTCGTCTTAGCAAAGATATCATCTTTGTTATATACAGGCTCGATCATTTAATTTTTCCGTTTTTGTGCTTTCTTTATGGATTCTTATTTTCTCTATTTCAAAGTACTAATATTCTAAATGGACAATATAATTATAAGATAAGTTGTATCAATTCCCAACCATCGCCGACTTAAACTGTATAAGCCATATACAGATATTAATATGCACATACCTCCACTTTTGTAGTTTCTTGTCTATAAGTCATATTTTCATTTTACAGTAATGTGGAGTAAGTGTCAGTGGTGCCGGAAATTTGATCGGTCGAGAGATAAGTGGGCGACAAACTTTGGACTGCCATGAATGTTGTAGTAAAGATAAATGCAATAAAAATTTCTGTTCACATTTGACACGTAAGCTTCTTCTTTCATGTATTACTTTTCTCGTGTTGTAACTAAACAATGTTAAGTTTAGGATTACATGTAAAAACGAACAAAGCATTAGTTTTACTTCAAATTATATTCTAAAGGGTCAAATAATGGCGTCACAATGAAAACAACCTATCACTTGACAAAAAAAACAACATTAACACCAACTAAATTACAAATATAAGATGCCAAACAGTTTTGGAGCATTACCGACATAGGTCGATATTCATTGAGGTTTGAGTGGTCGCAATCCTTTATTAAAGAACATTTCTTTACATACGGGATAGTTTATTGCAAATACGATGATATAGTTCCGCTATTACGGTGGCTACTATCTATATTTCAGCCGGAGCATGTATTGATGATGTGAAAGTGGATTGTGCATTTCTAAATAGCTTTTTCAATATTTGTAAGGATATTCAGCGAGCAAAGTTAATCTGTCTAAAATTCTGTTCGCTGTGTTCACTTGGTAAGCTTAACCATTTGACTTTCCACATTTGTTTTTAAAACAATTATAGTTAATGATTCGCAGTTCATTTATAAATCTATTTATAGAGTGGTTGTTGTTTATTTGGAAGATTTTTGAAATTATTTAACAGTCTTTTAAAATAGCCGTTGTTTTACCAAAAACCAAGATTCATAGTATAAGTAGACGTAAATATTCGCAACTCAGCCATGCAGGCTGAAATAGACATTCTTTGCTACCAGCGTGATTTTAAATCTGCTCCAATTTTTGATTTTCGTTTGTTTGACATTCTCCATTTGATCACTTTTAATATACAAACAGTGGATGGGAATTGGGCAAGCTGGTCTCCATGGTCTATATGTGACGTCACCTGTGAAAATGGGACTCAGACAAGAACAAGACAATGTTCCGATCCTCCCCCAGCAAATGGCGGACTTGATTGCATCGGAACACGCACTGACATTAAGACATGCTTAAAACAACTTTGTCCAGGTAGGAATTAAGCATGACATTGCCATATTGTTAAACATGTTAAGTATTGCGTAATCAAAATCAATAACAAATTATGATATCTAATACGAAACCAATAATGACTTTCAATCTGAAAATCAGTTAAGGAAATGGTTGTACATGTAGATAATTTACTAGAATACCAGATCTAAACACACACACGTTGATTGAAATACAAAAATGTAGTTATTGACATAAACGTCCGGATTTCGAACATCGCCTGTAGAAATTCTCTATGCTGAAGCAGGAGGGGAGGCCCTTCCATTTATATACGTTGTGAAAACGTTTCCCTTTAGTACGAGTATGCAGCCAGAATTTTGTCAAATAGTAAAACTCCTGCTAGAAAAGAAGATTTTTAGCCAAATTATTTTGGCGTCGTTTTAAATAACCAAAACAAAGATTAATCAGTAGGCCTTCATGTAAGATACATTTAAAAAAATATTTTCTTTAAAATATTGCAGAGGATTTCCTTCGTGGGAAGAAGTTAATATAAGCATTTTAACTTAACAAAAACATCAAAATTTGTATATTTTTCAAAGTTCATGGTGGATGGGCTAAATGGTCCAACTGGGACGCATGTTCTGTAACTTGTGGTGTAGGTATAGAAAGACGGCATCGTAATTGCTCGAACCCGATACCAGACAGAAACGGACTTCAATGTTTCGGCGACACACTAGATGATAGGATATGCTTACCGGGTCCATGTGCAAGTAGGTTTATCTACACATTAGATAATAAAATATCCTTACCGGGTCCATATGCAAGTAAGTTTATGTAAAAATTAGATGATAGAATATGCTAACCGGGTCCAGGTGCAAGTAGGTTTAACTACACATTTAGTGATAGATTTTGCTTATCGCGTCCATGCGCAAGTAAGTTTATCTTCACATTAGACGATAGAATTTGCTTACCGGGTCCATGAGCAAGTAGGTTTGTATACATATTAAATGATAGAGTATGCTTACCGGGTCCATGTGAAAGTAGGTTTATCTACACATTAGATGATAGATTTTGATTACCGGGTCCATGCGCATGTAGAACTATCTTCACATTAGATGATAGATGATGCTTACCGGGTCAATGTGCAAGTAGGTTTATCTACACGTTAGATGATAGAATAAGCTTACCGGATCCATGTGCAAGTAGGTTTATGTACACATTAACTGACATATTTTGCTTACCGGGTCCATGCGCAAGTAGGTTTATATACACATTAGATGATATATTTTGCTTTCCGGGTCCATGCGCAAGTAGGTTTATCTTCACATTAGATGATAGAATATGCTTACCGGATCAATGAGCGAGTATGTTTATCTACAGATTAAATGATAGATTTTGCTAACCGGGTTAATGCGCAAGTAGGTTTATCTATACATCAGATGATAGATTTTGCTTATCGGGTCCATGCGCAAGTAAGTGTATCTACATATAACATGATAGATTAAGCTTACCGGGTCGTTGTGCAAGTAGGTTTATCTTCATATTAGATGATAGATTATGCTTACCGGGTGCATGCGCAAGAAAGATTGATAAAAATATTGCTTCAGTTTGTCTTGATTTTAAGCATGGACGTTGATTTATTATTCCAAAGCTAATTTTCTTATTAATATCTAAACAAAAAATGGACAAGCTATTTAGTGACACACATTTAAAATCAACACCAGTGGGTTTTCTTTAATGTATTTTGATTTTTATGGAACTTTTATCGTTAAAATTTCATTACTCATCAATCATCACATAAAACATAATGTTCGTAATGTAGTTATTAATGTAGCTTAGAAATAGAAAATAAATGTTAATATAATCTAAAATGAAATAACATGATAGGTAATAACGACACCATAAGATATTATATTAAGAGTCTATAGAGTAGTGGCGTCATATAGGAGTCACTTCTCCGTCGTGTCCGTCCGTCCGTTACCAAACTTGTCCGGACTAAAAGGCGGTAAACCGTATACCACTACCTGATGAAAATTCAGCCTAAAAGGCGATGAATTGTATGTTAAAATCACTACTAGGTGAAAACTCAACCTAAAAGACGGTAAACCGTTCTCAAAAAGTGCTGGTGCAATTTCATTCAACTTTACAAGAATGATTTGTAATGAGTCTAGTGTGCATATAGTAGGCATTTTCTGTTTCAATGATTTTTGACAGAGTTATGATCCTTTAATGATGCTTATTTTTAAAGTTTTTCTGGACTACTCTTATACTTCTAATTACAGTTTCAGTGAAACTTTACAGGATTGATGTGTAGGTTAAGTATTTGCGCATATTACACGGATTTTCGGCTTGAATGATTTTAAATTGAGTTATGACCATTGAATTAAAAAGGTGTTTTTTGTGTTGCCAACTACACAAAAGCATGACCACAATACTCTACACAAACTTCTGGTGTGATTTCATCAAAGCTTTACCGGAAAAAAAAATCCTAAGTGTTATTGTGCATATCATCGGTATTCTCCGTTTCAATGAGTTGTGTAAGTGTCATGGTCATTGAATTATTTTCATTTCTAAAATTTGTTGGGACCAAAATGCAATTTCAATAAAACTAAAATGGATTCATTGATATCTAATGTACCTGCGCATAATGCATGGGTTTTATGGTAAAAATATATTATAAAGTATTGGCCCATGTATAAAAAAACATATTTTTGTTTGTTAATGATTTTTGTGTCTTCTGCAACATGCAAGTTGCTATCATGAGGTGGCACATGTCATAACTGACGGCTCTTTTTTCTCAATTCTTTTACTAAAATATCTTATAACAGTTTTACAAAATATACTCATTCGCCATATATATGAATTACCTTTTTCTTTGACTTTTCTGTCACTGGTAAAATTATATAGTAAAGTAGTATTTCGTATGGCGGGATGATCCAGAATTTACCCGGAATTTGTTTATAATTTTGACAAATGTCATGTTTTCTCCATTAATTTTGTACCAGCGTAAAGTTTGATGTTTCATCTTTTTAGTCATTTGAATATTGTGCAATCAAGTTTGAAGGTTTTCTAGTTTTCTAATTTATTTATTCAAAACGTCGTCATTAAATCATCCAGGAAACAGCACTCTCAAAAACATTTGTCAACAGTCCGAATAGTATACATCAGAAACATCTAATATAACAAAAGAACACCGACACAAGTATCTTGTGAGTAAAACAAAAGGTTTTTAGGAATACGTTCTTTTCAGATTGTTGACTTTATGTTCAAGATAATGTACTACTCAACTTTTGTAAAGCACCATAAGTTATTTCAATATCATCACCCGTATAAAACATATTTATTTTTAATTTTTGAAAACTCTGAATAAGCAGTGTTTTAGATAGTCCCCTGGCATGTCCGTGTTGATTAATCCGTTCCAACTCGTCAAGGTAGCATTAAAAGCATGCATCCGAATAGTTCATGTTTTTGATGGGGTGTACAATCACATGTCTTTTTGTTATACAGCGACATTACCGGCATATTGTCATTCAGTGGCTTCCATATCTTACATCTGTCACTT